CCATGTGATGGTCATACATATCTTTAACTTGTATTTTCTGTCATGATGTATTATCTCAATGTGCCAAACTATTAATTAGTGTGCATATTTTGCTTCCAGATGACATAAATGTATTGTCATGTTTATTACCTCGGCTTGGAGTATTGACAAGAAAAAGGTGCCAGTAAATTAGGTAAAAAAATTTTCAACTCATTGTTATAATCAGAATTCACAATCAATAGGAATTATAAACAGCCAACAATCAGTGAGAATTATATGCGAAATCCCTCAGAATAAATTTGTCTAAAATCGGAGGAAGGCAAAAAATATAGGTAGTTTCCATCCACACAAGCATTTCAAGGAGACTTGCTCGAGCCAAACTAAATGAGCATCGTCAGGTGATCGGTAAGGCTGCAAGTTGAATTCAGCCCTGCAACCTCCTGCATAGAAGATAATATTAATTAGTGGGCTATGAGCTAAATTCCTAAATTTAAACAAACCTCTATGATGCATTATGTACCAGCAATGTTACCTACGATTAACTGAATATGTAATATGTCTAATAAATTCACCTACAAAAGCAAGTTCGATAGGTGCAAACTTTGTGTTATGGAATTGTATCGCAGCACAGTTTTGTATGACATCCTCTTTAAATGAAATTTCAATGATTAAGCGCAAACATTAAAATTACTAACTTTGAACTTTGTCATTATCTGCAAAATGTTCCACACAAATCTTTCCGCTATCGCGTTTGTAATCTTCTCTGATAAAAAAAAACGTCTATGATGTCCAGAATTGCTCTTTACAGCTTGCCTGTTATTCCAGCTTTCCAAGTAAGCAAAACTTCTTAGATATAGAGATTATTTTGTTTCGTTACAGGCGCAAAAAGGCAGGTACTACACGTAAAAAAGACGCCGAGTAGCAAAAGCGAGCGGAAAACGGACGCGAAAGGCGACGAGAAATATGTGCATTGGAGCGTATCATGAAATACAATGTTTTGCCTGTAGTCTTATGGAGTGACGTCAGAGTTGCCTATCATGTTGTTTAATGTCATTGGTTTACCACAGTTAAAACATTTCATTTCAATCGCTTCACATTGTTTATCATTGGCAAGATGAGCTGTCGAATTGCAATTAAAGCATTTCTGCGCACGATGCTTAATTCGTTTGTTTACACTTTTACGATTATTCTCGTTTTGCGCTTCTGATTTAATCGATCTACGTCGGTGAAAATCATGGTTAAAATGATGAAAATCACTTCCCTGTATTTCCTTGGCTTCTCCCAACGGCTTTTTCTATTTGCTCTGCCAGCTTGAAAGCATTCTCGATAATGAGCGTGTCTGTTCTTATCAACAACCTTTCTTGTATTCTTCTATTGTCGACGTTTTTTATCAAGTCGTCACGAACCAATTCGTCTGTTAAACCACCAAATTTACATTTAGATGCCATGTCTCTAAGACATGCTACGTACTCACGGACAGTTTCACCCACATTTTGGATTCCATTCCAAAATCTATGTCGATACATGATTATACTTCGGTGCTTCGGCGATGACTGGATGACTCACCGAGTCTTTCGCGATCCCACGTTAATTGCTATGAATCGATGTTTCCCGTTTTTTAGTTTGCTATGTTTTTCTTTTGATTTATTGATTCTTGCATGACGAAAATAAATATATGAATCTGAAATTATTCATAGAGCTTCTTCAGAACAGCTTCGAGCGTATCTACTTCAGAAAATGTATTAAATATACGTCTACCTTCTGTACCAAGACAGTGTACTAATATAGCTCGTTTCTGCTCACGTTTATCGTCCGTAGTAGCTAACAATCCTATTGCAACACAATAGTTTTCAAAAGTTTTATACCGCGCATTCCAAATAACTTGCGGTTCTCCCGGACACTCTAAAAACGGCTGCGGCGGAGGTAAATTTATACTCGCCATCTACGATCTTCTATACTCGCCATCTTCAGTTGATAAACGCTAAAGTCAACTGAAAAGGCTATTAGAGTAGATCCAGCGAAAGACATGTTAGCGCGACCAGCTTCACTATCCGAATCGTGTTCAACAAAAAAGTCCATGCCCAAAACAACCTATGAAATATTCTTGTCAGCAATTACGACCCGGCTTCTCATCACCGCAGTCAATCAGTGCAAAACAAATGAAAACACATTACTGTACACAAGGTATCCAACCCGAAAGTCTTAATTTTGAAGAAATTCGTTTATGACATCAGAATAGTCCATAGTATACACTATACAGGATAAAGACTATACCGTGCATTTACCACCTCCGACGTATGAAGACACATCAACCTCGCTCCTCGCCCTGACTTTGGGTTACTCTTCTCCCAAAATGTAACCATGGTCTGCTGGAAACACCGCTGCTGAATTTAACGCGCTCGGTACTCGATTCTTCCAAGCTGAAATTCGTTTCAGCAACCAAACCTTCAGAGCTGCCGACGATAATTTTGTCCAAATCCGCTGCCTGCTCGCCATTGTCACATTAAAGATGTTGCTACGGTGGTGAATATGAATCAGAAGACCCAAGGATTTCGGATTGGTTGGTTATTGTACGGCAACTCCAAACTTAAAATAGCATAAAACAGAGGACACAACAAAACGCAGCCGACCTCCAGGCCGAAGAATAAAAAGCGAAAGATATAATTTTTCTCTCACGTGTAGTAGGCAAAGTGGTCGGAGTCCAGATCCGACAAAACAGCATTGAATAAGGGTCAACATAACATAAAAATATATATACACACAATATAAACGCGGACGCTATGGTCCGCGACAAAGGTTATCATGTCTAAGTAACACGGCAACACGCCTACCGAGAGAGGTGATGAGTTGTCGGTAACGGATGTTTCCCCGAGTATCAATTTCCTTGTTTATTTCCGTAACAATTACAAATTAACAATAAGTCAACAATGACGTAACAATTTATGCCACCGCTCAGACACTTCTTTTGCTCAGACAGGTATCAAGCGTGGTTGTAAACATTGCCTCTTTTTAATTGTTTAATTGTGTTCTTTTTTAGAATTCAGTTGTGTTTCAAAAAATAGTTGTAAATCAAATAACTTAATTATCATTTGTGTCCTCTGAGGACCTTTAGTTTATAATAAGCAAAAATGGATACCCCTAACGCTGCGACAGACTAGCCTAAAATTACCTATAAAGCACCTGTAAACGGCACATGCTGTACCCACTAACGAAAGTTGCACATTTTCTGTAAAACACGCTTCAAAAATCCTGATGAAAAAATTGGATTTAAGGGGATTCCCCGAAATAGATGTCTGAGAAAAACTAACAAATAATATTTATTAAATTAACCTCAATATTTAATTCACTTTCCTCTGAATTGCTTCCGAAATCCCCATTTTCGAAAATCAACTTCTCCTCTACAAGTGTACTGTGGTTTTTGCAGTCGATACAAAATTCTGTGCAACTTAGGTTGTTTTTGGCACACGAGCATAAATTATTTTGACAACTATTTTTCCCGCACTTGCAGTTTGACAACTCAAGAACTGATTTGGGGGATGGGAGTAGATCCACCAATTTAAATCGCAAAACACCATCATCAGGAACCCATCTCTTGCCAATAGGTGGGAGAAGGATTGGCCTTGGTTTTAGGCAACAGTGATGAAGTCCTGCCTGGTAATTTGCCCTCAAAACATGCTTCCTCAGTGAATCATTGTTGGGTGGAAAAGTATAATACAGGTATCATTTACATTCTCCATACTCTCTCGATACAGTGAACATACAAATGCGTCAGCTTTATTTATTAATGCCTCGTGAATCTCAAAAAATCTTCATAGTTGAGAAAAAAAAATTAATTAAAAACTCAATGAAGTTCTTCAACATCAGTTTCATGGGCAATTTCAATTGCAGAAAAGTGCCAAAGAATGGCCCATCTAAACTGTTTGCGACTGTTCCTATATCTTTACCTCTTCTCAAATACCTTTACGCTTTTTTTCAAGACTTCTTGTTCGATCCATTTTATTCTGACAGGTATAGCGCTGATAGCAGCAGGGATAAGCAGTGTTAAACTTTTTTCTGCCAGTGCCCCCTTGAACGATTTTTTAACTAGCAAACGCCAAACGTCAGTTCAATCAGAGGCCCAGCTCTCACATGTTGCTCCCAACAAAACCAAAATTAGAACATAAGGGTGTTGTACCCACACTACCGCTTCAAAGCACCATAGAACCCGATAGTAAAATGACGATGTTATTCAAAACAGTACAACGAAACGTGCAGTGCGTGGTGAAAAAGCGTATGCCGTGTGCGCTATGTATTATTGTGGAACAATACGAATTTAAAACGATACCTATTCTACCTTGAGCGAGAAATTTCCAACACCGAAATCACAAGCAAACTAGTTTGAACCAAAACATAGGAGTAAATGGCATAAATTATCATACTCCTTGTGAGTTCCCCGTATTGATGTCAGCGCCCCCCCAATCGCCCAGTTTGACAGCCAGCGTCTCCCAATTGCCCAATCAATGCCTTGGGCGACATTAAGGTTTTTTTTTTTAGGGGTCAAGGGTCGGGGAAACATTCATCAGCTATTTCTTGATTGACCTGATTTTAGTTTCCGCAAGATGGCGTAAATGAGTGTTTGTTTTTGACGCGACACGTCACGGGACTCATTGCAGCGCTGTTTTCTTATAATCAGCTCGGAGTTGTAGTTCAAAATCTTAAAAAGATTCTCACAGGACGAAGAAATAAATGATTTATTGAAATAGTCAAGTTCGCTTGTCTACATGTGTATATGTAGTTGAAGTTCGTATATCAAGATATCAAGAATTTATAAGGATATCAGATATGGTACGGTAGTGGTTTTATTTCGATTCCATATCAGGCATCAGCAAAACAGACGATAAAATCTGGTTATGAAAGCGATAGGTACGGTACCGTAGCGGTAGGCCTACTGTCTGACCGCGTGCCATCCTAATATCCTACACGGTATCACCATCTGCTAAATTGTTGCCTTATGTTTTTCTCGCATGTTAAATTTCATAGTACGGTACAGTAGTAATAACAGAGTAATTTTGAAACTCTTCTCGACGTCACAATCAGTTGGAAACTTTTTATGATCAACAGATATAAAAATACTTTCTGCATCTATTCTCATGATGCAGTGATGAGGGAAATTAAGGCGATCATTTTGTAAGCACTCAAATTTAGATAAACTCTCTATTCGAATATTAAAATTTTTCAGTGTCAAGGTTATTCATCATTGAGCTCTCAAGCTGTGGTAACTCTAATGGCACTCAGAGGGAATTGCACAATTTGCACTGATTTTTTCGGTTGTGATGCGAAAATCAGCGTGACTTTATGTGGGCATTTATTTCATGGAGAATGCCTACAACAATGGTTAAAGCAATGTGGTACGCACAGAACATGTCCGCAATGCAGATCAAAGTTAACTGAAAAACAAATAGTCAAGAAATTGTTTATAAATGTTCCGGAAACGGAGGAAGGAGACCTTGATCCGTATCACCTTAAAAATCGATTAGACGATATCGAGTCGAGAGCGCAAAAATTGAAAATTGATAAAAAAAAATTGCAAGATTTAATACGAGATGAGCAAGAAAAGTTTGGGAAGCTAACGTCAAAAAATACAACTCTAAAAAAGAAATTAAAAGAGTCTAACCATGAAAATGAATTTTTAAGAGATGAACTAAAACGTGCCAAAGAACTTGAAAATGACGCAACTAGTGCAAAAAATGAAGCTAAGAGATTACAAGAGCGCTTAAAATTGTGTGAAAGAGTCGAATTCATATTAGAATCGCAGAAGTCGCAAGTTGATGAAATGATGCAGCAATATGCAAACAACTCGCATAATATGTTGACTGTAACGACCATGTGCACGGCGTTGAAACAAGAATTTGAAAGTATCAAAGTTTCAAGAAATAAAGCTAAAGACGAAGTTATGAAATGGAAACGTGAGGTACATAAAGTAAATCAAGAACTCTTGCAACAAAAATCACTTTACGAAGATTTAGAAGAAAGATTGAATTCACACCAAAGAAGTGAAGACCAATTAACAGAGGAAAATAAAAGTTTGAGACGAAAACTGGATGCTTTACAAAGAGCTATGACGTCACCTTCTGATATGAGGGCATCAGCGATATCTCGACTAATAGCTGAATGTCCGGCTCCATTAATGATGACTCCTGACGCAGATTGGCGAGTCAGAACTGTAAAGCAACAAAAGCGATTATCTTCGGAAAGCAGTTCTATTGATAAAATGAAGAAACCAAAACTATCACCTTCCCTAACACAAGATGTCACTATTGACTTAGACAATGATGACGCTAATGGTTCATTTATTGCAAAAGAAAACGAACCGTCAACTTCCTATAAAATGAAAAACCACACTGATAGTCCTCAGACTGTAAAAACCAAAAAAGTTTGTCATGAAATGGGACTGAATTTTGTTAAAGTTGCTTCATCAACAAAAATATCAACTAGTATGAAAAATCCCCCCCTTTTTCGGGCCCCACTTGCTAATAAGTTTGTCGATTCTAATCGAACTGGTAGCACTAATAGTCACTTTTTTAAATCACCATCAAGTCGGTTTACGAAAGTTAAATTGTCTTCAAAAGCGAAACCGTTTACCTCAAAACCAGTAATGGCATCAATGGGTCGGCCGAAACTCAAGGTCAAGAAAACTGGCTTTTGATAGGATTTTGGTCCTGTTCGGGTTTCATAGTTATTTTGGTGATAGGAAAGACGATTAGACGGCTTAATTCTATACCTTGTGTGTAATTATGGGAACATGAAAAGCAAAATCATGACATTGCTTTGTGAATTTGGACAAAAAGCACATTTTAATTGTAAAAATGATGAATAATCGAGTAATTTATGTATTTTGCTCTGAACAAGGTGAATATAACAATATATAAGGGTGAAAGGTCAAATACGTGAAGGTATAATATTTGGAAAGGCCTGAATCTTTACAGTTCCGCATTTACGACTTTAACGACTTTAATATTTGAATACGTTTAAAATTTGTTGGAAAATTATCGTTTGTAAATTTTCCACTCTGAACATTGTTTTTAACTTGAAAATTAACCCAATCCAACTTTTTAGCATGATTTGTGAAAATATCTCTGTTGAAAAATGTTTATAAAATGAGTTCTATATTAAAAAGGGTTTTTTTAGAATTTTTTTATTACCTCATTCTTGTTTTCGTTATTGATATGAACTGCTCTAAGTAGGGCATGGCAAGGGTTGGTTCCAGAACCTCCTCTTTGAAAAGTCTTGGCTATGTCCCTGGCTTTATGTCACACATCACTCACTAACATGCAATTCTGTACTATGATGAGGCCCAGTTGTTCTTGGAATTTCATTAATAGACTGTAACTTCACCTAAAGATTATTCTTTTGTTTCTGCGTGCGTATCATATTGCTCTGAAAAATCTTTCTAAAATTTGGAATAGTAGATTATTATTTATCTGTGTTATGTAAACTGTATTTTGTATTCTATTATATTATTTAGGAAAATGAAATTAGAAAATTTCGAATTTACAACTATCCTATTATCAGGGGCCTAGTTGGAGTTTGAGAGTCAGAAAATGTTAAAAGAGCACTTTTTACATTTTTCATTCTCTAAACGCTTTTTAGACCCTTAAAACTCGAACCAATCAGAATCAACGACATGTGACCAGTCAGAATATTGTCAATCTAACCCAAATGTTGGTAATGCTGCTACGCCATGCTTCATTGATTTTCTTAGCTTGAATTGTTGAAATCATACCTGAGTTGATGAGACTTCTGTTATTTTTTATTGTGCTATAAAATATGTGAAATTATGTCAATGTAATTGTTGCTTTTCTATCTTTTGCAGATTTTTAAATTTATACTTAAATAGTAACTTAATTGTGTAGTCAGTGGCTTGTTTGGTAGGAAAACGTTTCCTACATGGTCAAAATGGAATTTTTGTGTGAAGGATTGTTCCCAATATCGACTTCTACATGGGATTTACTTCCAGAAAATTGCTTTTATAACTATAATTAGACACTAGCTTACCGAGTATCTGAGCAACGCAGTGCTTTATAAGCGAACCATAACAACTGACATGCCTTATTTTCTACTTACCGATATACTGAAAGGTTAATTTCGTCTGGCTAACATAACGTTTCCTAACCGGATAGGAGTTCCGTCACAGAGAGTAATTTTGATGTTCTTGGGGTGGAAATAATCACTTCATATTTTGTCTAGTTGTAAAAAATTTGTTTAGCTATTTAGTGTAATATGTATTTAGTTGGTATATTACCTATTTACATTACAAAGCGACCAAAACAAAACTAACCCATATAATATGTTTCAAGTGGATTTAGTTCAGTTTTTTTTTTGGTCACTCTGTAATATAATGCGTTCAAGTGTTATTAAAAAACATATTGATGGATACCTTATAAACTGTGCAAAAGTCAAGAGTGGGAGTAGGTAAGAATCTAACAAAGTTTTTGTGCATAGTGGGGGGGGAATGAAGAGATAAATATTAGGCTGAAAAAAATTGGGGTCCACTGCAATGTGCAATATTTGGTACTCCCAAAGTATATGAACCAAGATGGCGGACACCGGAATGTAGTATGTGTTCCAGGTTACGGTTAGGCCATAATTTCAGGTACAAATACTACGGAAGTCACTTGGTTAGTCCCCGAACTCGTAATAGAACTAAAATAAGGAAAATTGGAATAAAATTATGGCCTAACTTGGTACACATAATACGTTTCGGTATCCGCCATCTTGGTTCACATACTACGGTAGCATGAAAAGGTTGGGGACTATCTGTTTGAGTGTTCTGAGTTCTTGTTGATTTGCATTTTTCAAATTATTTTCAGATTAAAATGTCTAAACTATTTTCCGACAACGGTTGAAGAATTTTTGTAAATATAGATATTGGAAAATACTTCAATTGATGTTTTAAAATTGTATGCACAACTCAAATCAATTTGTGGCTGCATATTTGAAAAGATTTTGAACTGTTTCTACCGGAAAATAACGTTCACCAATGGCTGAAAGTATTGATGTTGAAGATGCCGGGAATAAAGCGATTATTTTAGATTCTCCTGCCGTAGAAAACAAGGAAAATGTGAATTTGGAAGAAGGTTTGTGTTTCTTATCATGTTCTTTTTACCCTGGGGGGAGAGAAGAGCCTTATTTTGGGGTTATTGTGGAATGGCCAATTTTAGATCTGGTCTATTTATAGTGTTCCACACCTTTTGGTAAAGACTAGTCTTTAGAAAGCTTTGGCAATTATTTTTCATAGGCTGTTCATTTAAGCCGATAAAACGGTTCTGGCAAAAATTTTGTTCTATTACCTGTGCATGTTGGGTATAGAAATACTCAAGGGTGGGCTGTTTATTTTAAGCTGATAAGACTGTTGAATTATGGGAGGTGTCTTGTCCTTTTACCAGTGAAAATTTGGTATGGAAGCAGTTAGGGTTGCACAAACTTGTGTGATCGAGAAAACCGTAACTGACAAACAAGCAGTTATGTGAATCGATAACAAGGATTTCAATAAATAATTCGGCACTTCCGAAGTATGTGTACCAGGTTAGGGTTAGGCCATTCCGCTTTTCCTTATTTTTGTTCGATTACGAGTTTGGGGACTTTTCGTGTCAGCCAAGTCAATATACCCAGTGGCCGTAGGTTTCAGTCCCTACTCCCTTTACACAACTTGATGTGAAGTAGGCTAACAAAATTAGTCACCTTCATATTGGTACACACACTTCTGGAACGCCAATAATTCTATTCCACATATCGTTACACCTAGTGATATTCGAACCTGTCAACATTCGGAGGGTATTTATAGATCTCAGATGGCGATCAAACTTCTTGCGATTATTACTCGTTTACTCTTTTTTTAGAAGATTTTCATAATGCGAAAATTGGACTCAATCGTTCCATGTCTTGTGGAAGCATTTTACAAGGCAATGGTATGGGCAAGAAATTGTCCAGAAGAGTCAGTTTTCCTTCTGATGATAAATTGATATCTGGATATAATGAACCGAAAAATCCTTGGGAACATGGTAATTTTTATTGTAGAATTTTATTATTCAATCCTAATTTGTATTATGTTAGCTGGTTACATATGATTAGGATAGCACAAAATCACATATTCTTGGGAACATGGTAATATTTCTTTTTGGATTCATTTTAAATAAAGCCTGTTTCAGTTTGTTAAATTTTATTAGTAGAGACTAAAACGAAATATTCATTGGGAACGTGATAATTTTTTTCATCATTGTTGTTTTACATTAGATAGTTACATCTAACAACTTTTTGTAAGTTTGTAGGTCGAATTTCCAAAGTCAATTTTATTAGTGATACGGGCTCAATAAAAAGGAAAATGTATGAGTTAATAATACTTGATATCTTATTATATTCAAGCTCATGAGACAACAACAGAAGACTTGATTCAAGCCTACACTCAAGCTTGTCAAACATGGAACGTTCGTCCTATCACCAAACTATTACTTCAACTGCAGGTAGGTTCCATTTTCAAGCACTTGGGAAATCAAATTTATTTATTTTGAATCCCAATTTTTTACACCCAGAAATGGCCAAATCACTATTTCGAATACAAATATATTTTTGAAAATGAAGTATTAAATACATTCTGAATATAATAATCTGACATCTTTAATTAACTTTTGATGCAAAAAGGTCCAATCTTGTAACCACAAGGAACTTGAAAATTGTTAAAAATTCATTCTTCTTTCTACTTCCAGGAAATCAGAGACTTTTCAGTGAGAGCAAATTCCCTGACATTAAAAGGTGAGTGTAGTTTGTGAAATTTACTTACGTACATCCTTGCATATAATACCCTAAAACGGTGACTTATAAACATTCGAATATTAGCCCACCCTACAAATCGTAACACGCCATACGCATCTATCACAGCAAATGGTTGCAGTCTTGTGAAGAGAAACAATAAAAATAACAGTGAGAAATGTCTCAAAACACTTCAAACTTTCTTTTTTGGAATTTTGAACTGGGCTTATGTGCGACGGCTGACGATATAGGGTACTTATTGAAATGAGGAACACATTTCTTGTTTGTATGGTTAATTTTTTAGAGTTTACGTAAAAGTATTTAGACCTCCTTGACATATATTGGGCTTATTAGAGATTGCGTGGTTGACCCTTATTCAGAGTGACAATTTGTAGACTATGTTAGCAAGGGTGTAGCCAGGAATTTTCAAAGAGTAGGCTCGGAAATATCTAACGGGCAAGTTAGACCGTGACAGCTATCGGGTTTTCGGGGTCAAAAAAATGTTCGAGCTACGGAAAATTTTTTTTTTTCCATCTAAAGATTCCAACCATCAGAAGGTTTGCATTTAAGTAGCGACTTGTAAAGAGCTTTGTTTAGAGTGGCAATTTGCAAATACCCCCCAAAAAAAAAGAATATTTAAAATACTTGTACTTGTATTGTACTATATGAAAGGTTTATATAGACTGCATTTCGCATTTATATTCTAATTTTTTGGTATATATTGTTCAGTTGCCTCAATGGGAGATTCCCAAAAGTATTAGCCCCTTATTTTTCACTGGCTTGTTTAGGGCAGTGATTTATAAACCACGTACACTCCTCACCCTTCGTTAAAAATTATCTTCATTGCAGTAGTGATGTTTTTGCAAACTGCATTTATTATTCTTGCTGTTTTCTTGGTTTGTTTTGATCGTACTCTCGACTGATTCCTTCGTCTGAATAATTTATTAGCTCGTTTAGATAGTTTTATTTAAAGAGGTATTGTGTTGTCACAATGTATAGTGAAAGGGCCTGCTAGTGTCATCTTATACATTAAAGTAGGGTTCCCAGCCTTTGAATTTCTTTTAAAAGCTTTGATTGGTTTATACTTTTTAATCAGTCTGAGGTGTCTGAAAAACAGATGCCTTTTGCGTTAGGTTTTAAAAGTGAAAAAACAGTTACCGGTATTATATTAACATCATATCTAAAAAGTTCCGGATATTCACTGTATGGAATATAATCAATTTTGAATGATTATTTATTTGTTTCTAATTTTATTGTCATTCCACACTATCCACACATCTAAAATATGTGATCCCAAAATTCTTGTTTATCAAATGGGAACACTGTCCTGGTATTCTGTTTAGCAGTTCAAATATTGACTCCTTCGCTAAATAGGTCTCCAGTGATTTATTAGCAATACATACAATAGCATCAAATACCTTATGGAAGAGAATATAGATTAGTACAAAACATATGCACAAGGGCTTATTCAAACAGCCATTGACAACGATATGTAAAGAACTACAATTTCAGAAGGACCGAAATCAGCCAGAAATTTTCAAATCGAAGTTCTGAAATTTCCAATTGCCAAGTTACATCTAACGTGGGTTTTCAAGCCTTGAGGGTCTAAAAAGCATTTCAACTTTCAAGCAACGAAAATTGCCATGTATGGTACAGGAAAATTGCTTATTTTACATTTCAAAAGGGGATTCCGACCAACGTTCGCTCTAAGCTGCGCGGCAGCGCAGCTCGCCGAGAATCCTCGCGCAGTACTTTCGTTCTGCCGCCACGCACTGCATAAGTATTGACAATTCTGTGTTCGTTTAAAATGTTGTGTTCTTTTAGAGCTGAAATCTATGATAGTGGGCTGACTTTTTAATTTTTTTTGTCTTGTCTGCCATGGAATTGGCTTTCTATTTTTTTCCAATTTTCCGCTCAGACCTTTTTTTTTAGCTCACAATATGGCCTTCTATTCCGCACAACTAAGCAAGCTCGTAGAGGGAACGTTGGTCCCGACTCCCGACCCACAACCTCCCTCCTGGATTCGCCCCTGGCCGGAATATTTCATTTCAGTATCGCCAAGCCAAATTAATACACCCTGATTAATTGACAGGAATACATTTTTCACCCAAGTTCTCCAATTAAAATGTGGGACATCATAGTTAGGTTTAAGATCAAGATTTCCCTGTCAAACAGACAGTTTTCTAAAATTCTGCATCATTACTTGGTTTTGTTAATGAGTGCTTATCACTTCAATAGACTATTGAGTTTTCGCAAAAGCACACCGCAGAATAATTTTCATCTTTTTTATATCTAGGTGAAAAGCTTGAAATGCGAGTCGTTGAAACGTTGGAATCAATTTTCAAACGAGTGCAATTCATCACTATTGATCTGGAGGCAACAAATCTGGATGAGGATGTGAGTAGAAAAATGATTGTTAGGGTTTTTATATTTTTCTTGTTGGAGAGGAAAGAAAAAATTCTCTTGCACATAATTCTTCCCCTCAGGATTTGAGCTTGCGAAGGCACACAGGTTATCAGAGTCCTGACAGCACGCATATTCCTGACCAGGGAAAAAAAATAACTGAAAACATGAAATTCATCACGCAGTCAGTTTGCTGAGCGCTCATACACAATAAGAAATGTTTCATCGATAACTCATTAGAAAAATAAGACCTAGAATATGAGAATTGCATTGTAAAAATATGGCTTCAATAAAAAAATTGAGAAATGCACCTCGACTGTTGGTGGCCGAATAAAAAACAAGATGGCGGCGATTCAAAATTTTCATCTGAATTGATTCAAATAAATTACTACAATTCGATTTGAAATGTCAGTCATCAATTGTAAAGTCTGAGATGTGCAAATTCTTATCGTTTAAGTTACAAGTTCAGTCAGTTAACTGCTTTACAAGTAATTATCATAGTGCAGGGGTGCGCAACACAAGGCACAAATGTCCGATGTGGCACGCCAATATGCGTATAAATTGTTTAAGTAGATAGTTTTTCATTGATATGTGTTCTATTGAATTCGTTGTTATGTGTTTTACGGAAGTTGACAATAACAGCAATTATCCGTGCGTGGCATGCAACAAGATTATTTTGAAAATTGTGGCATGTATCCTCATCCCCACTGCTGGTATAGTGGATTTCAAAAACATTAAAATAATTAAATTATCAGTCCTATAATTCATTCTTCCATCTTTGGTACAGATCATTAATTCTAACTAATGCTGGGAATATTGAGATATCTATCCAGGGGAAATTGATTTTTAAATGATCCATTTTCATGGTAGATTTTGTTTATAATCTTGGATTAATGGAGATTATCTGACACATGATACCAATAAGTGACCCCCGAATTATATATCGAGCACTGTATGTCTCTTTTTATAATATAATTTTGTTATGGGTAATAGTAAGTATGTTGATAGGTATTTGTCTGTCTGTTTGTTTGTCTGTTAGATGCATTCGATATCTCACGAAAGCGAGATTGAATCTGCTCCAAAATTTTGCATGTGCATTCGAGTTATTAATTAATTAGTGATGGGACACGTGGTGTCAGTCACTATAGAGTCATGAATCGAAACCGCAGTTTCGATCGGAAAGTCTTCAGTCTCCGACCGATATTCTCGTTTCTGCTTTGAAATGTTAGCATTAGAAAATAGTGTTTTACATGTTAAAGCTGGTGTTATTCAAACCACATGACTCGTATCATAAAAAATAAACTCTGTTATTAGATTAAAAAAAAATTGCAGCCAGGCATGTTGTTCCACAAATTAATAAAGTTACACTGCAATTAACAAATTGTTGGATACTCTTAGTATAGCCACACTCTTACTATTTGCCTTTCCAAATAGAGAATCCATTATAAAAACTCGCCAAATTGTTGTATATCTGAGTAATTTGATGTTTCTACGTTAGTTAAGTTAACTGTGAGTGTGAATTCCCCACATATTAGGATTGTGTCATGTGGGGGCATTTTAGTTATATGAAAAAACACAAGCTTCTGTTTGGAAAAGAAAAATATTATTCTTTATGGATTAAATATTATTATAAAACAATCAAATTTATGTTTCTATGTTATTCTACCAGTTGCAAAGCCCACTTGTAAGACATTACTAACATATAACATATCCCACATTTCCCATATGATTAGTGTTAATGTTTGTATAACTCATAGGTATATGTATAGCATATTATTATATATTGTACCTATCTCTACTGCAATTAACAAATGGTTGGATACTCTTAGTATAGCCACACTGCTACTATTTGCCTTTCCAAATAGAGAATTCATAATAAAAACTCGCCAAATTGTTGTATATTTGAGTATACATTTCACAAAATTAATTTTTGCTCATTTAATATCATTAGGTAATTTGATGTTTCTATGTTATTTAGTTTAGCTCTATCTATGTTAGTTTAGTTAAGTGTGAATTCCCCACTTATTAGGATTGTATCATGTGTGGGCATTTTAGCTACATGCGAAAATGTTAATCTGTGTGGAATAATTATTATCATAAAGCAATCAAACTTTATGTTTCTATGTTGTTCTACCAGTTGCAAAGCCCATTCGAAAGACATTACTAATATATCCCACATTTCCCATATGATTAGTGGGACCTCCTGAAGTATGCGCACCAAGATGGCGCACAACCTGAACTCAGGTTGTGTACCAGGTTAGGGTTCATGTTATGCGACATCTTGGTGCGCATACTTCAGGAGTACCGATTAGTCTTAATGTTTGTATATTATTATATACCGTACATATTGTATTGTGTTACGATTATATTCTACACCTTCCATATGAATAGGACTGGAGTTCAAATATCTTTGAATATCTCACATAAGATTTGTTTATTAATGCTGCATGGAGGAGGCAATATGTTCAAATCGTCCGTTTAATCACCAACGATTATTCAAAATAGGTTTGTGTTATTAATACACCCACATTCCCATATTTATGACCAGTGTTTAACGATTCAATTGTGGTGGCGTATTGTATGCAATACACATATTTCGGGGCTCCCGAAGTATGCGAACCTAGATGGCGGACATCGGAATGTAATATGTGTATAGGTTAGGGTTAGGCCATAATGTTAGGTATAAATACTACGGGAGGCTCTTGGCTAGTCTTCGAACTGATAATAAGACTAAAATAAGGAAAATTGGAAAAAAATTATCGCCTAACCCTAACCTGTTACCCATGTTACGTTCCGATGTCCGCCATCTTGGTTCGCATACTTCGGGAGCACCCATATTTCTAATCCAAATAGTCTGACATTCTGGAAGTATTTTTTGTAACTAAGCCCGCTAAGCCGTTTGGTGAGGCCCTTGTTTGTGTTTACAAAGTCTCAAAGTGTGTAAAAATACATAATATTTTTTTTGCTCTTGTCGCTGTGTTAAATCTTTCACCAGGTGACCGGTGTCTTTATTACTGCAAGGCTAAGCAATAGCCGCATTCTCTTCACTTGCCTTTCCCACATGGAAAAATACTGTAATTTTTTTGTGTGGTCTGGCTAGATGTCGGAAGTTGGTTATATGACCTATCAGCACAGATAAAAAATGTCGCGCACCCCTGGTTTAGAGGAATTTAAAAGCATCAATAAAACAACAAGTATTCACATCGGCATAGCACTTGATTGTCATGTTTTGTGTAGCTACCTTTAAAATCTGCTTTGTCATGACGATATATCCTTTATGAATGAGATCATCCTAATGGTGATTGTTACCGTATAAGAATTCCTATTTTAAATTGTGTCAATTAATAATAGTTTTGGCGAATACTTTCACAGACAATTAATTTGAAATTGATCCCAGTCAGGTAATCAATTCAATTTGTGACCTTTATATCTGACTACCTTCATTTAGGATTAGAATTCATTTTTATTAAAATTCAAAAATGTAGCTGTTTAGAATTGAACTATTCAAACCTGCTGAACTACTAGTGCAGTGGTTATAAAACATTTAGAATCTCCCTTTTAGAATTTGTCAAAATTAACTAGCTAACAATAAGCTACAAATAACAGATAGTAAGGCGAAAGTATCCTTTATTCAAAAAAAATATCCAAAATAAAGAAATGTAAATATCCAAAATGAGGCGGGCATGATCAAATCTAATGAATGTTTATATTTTTATGTGGCTTCGCATGAAAAAATTTCTAATTCACTAAGACGTACGTAATAATGCTCATATAGCCTACTGGATGCAAACGCTAGCTTTTCCGCAGACCATGCAGCAAAGAACGTTGATCACAAAACAGATTTTTAAGACAGTCAACATATGGATTACCCCCAAAAAATGTCAGATTACCCTCTTGGGGGTAATTCCCCCCAGTTTGGGAACCACTGTACTAGAGTTTGTATCGTAGATCGGTTATGGTCACTCCTCACTCGTCAGAATTTGTCTAATATTGGTGGGACTAATCCAATAGTTTTTACAAGTCGTTGCACCTTTTAGGAAAAATCATCATTTTAATTATCTGAATTCTATGACTATTTACTGTTCATAAATAGCATTGATTTTAAATTTTATTTCATCTCTATTATTTGAACACCTAACAGCATCAGTTGTTACTCAGTCTTCCAATGCTGGAATATTACGGTATGAACCAGTAGTTCTTCGTGTTATTTCCTCAATGAAATGCTTCCGGGAAGGTATTACAGGATTTACTTATTTCCTGATTGTCTGGGTTGATTTGTTTTTTAAAATGTATCAAATGAATTCGAATAAATCCAAAAATATTGATATTTAATAAAACCGCGCATGGGCACCATGGACTAAAGCGTTGACTCAATTAAATTGTGTTTGCATTGTATATGACTATTTTATATCACTGGTCCAAATCCATCACCTAATTTAGTGGTTCCCTTTTATATGGCTCGTGTCCCCTTCCGAAGGAATTTTAGCACTCATGGCCCCCTGTTTGTCAATACAGTAGTATTTATTAAATATCGATTTTAATCGGTAAATATGTTGATAGGTATATGTCTGTCTGTCTGTGTGTATGTCTGTTAGATGCACGCGATATCTCACGAAAGCGAGATTGAATCTGCTCCAGATTTTGCATGTGCCTTCATCATATCTCGGACCAAAAGCCTATTGATTTTGGGCAAATTATGTCGTATAATTAGCGAGTTATTACTTAATTAGTGATGGGAATACTATGGAATAAGAGCGCTGTTTTGGGGTATCCCCTAACTTTCGATCGATAAGTCTTCGGTCTCTGACCGATATTCTCGTGTACAGTATATTTTGATTGGTAGATTCCAAATACCATTAGGTCCCAACAATTCATGCTCAACAAAGTGAAAACACCCATTGAAATAACCTTGTCAAGAAATGAAACTGGGAGGAACAGGGAGTTTTCTTGTGAAGGGAAGAGTAAAATTAGTTTTGCTCAGCGTTGCGGCCCCTCTCCAACTGCTCTGTGGCCCCCAGGGTTGTAAATGGCGAACCGGGAAGAGAAGACCCTTTTGAAGAAATTAGCTTTTACATATCAGTGGATAATCATGTAACACCACCTTATCGGTGATGTAATAAATTGGGCATGCCGAACCTGAAGAAAATTAGAGTTGAAAACCCCCCCTGGCTGTGCAACTGTATATATATATATATAAGCAAACCTACTACTGGTGAACAAATTGATTTCAAAGAGTAACAAGTTTGATAATAAAGGTATTCGATTATATTTTAAGTAATATAAATATATTAATCTAGCCCAGGGGTGGGCAACTTCTCTAGTCGGCGGGCCAGATATGTGAAAATAAAGCCCTCGGCGGGCCGGATTATTACAAAAAATACTTCGGTATCCAGTCTTTGTTAAATGCTCACTCTCTGTCAACTTTACGTTTTTTCGGATATTCAATGGTTAATAAAACTCAATTTAAAATCTAATTTCTAAAATCGTTTTATATTTAGATAAAATATAACTGATAACAGTAGTAGGGAATGTTTACAACGCTCTCTGCTTTGACCTTATATTGTTTGTTTAACCAGTGTGCTAACGCAATTGTTTGTTCACTAAGGCAATTGTTCATTTCACCAGCTCGCACTGACAGTGCGGTGAGAGTAGAGCGATCGTCAACTTTCAAGAATGATACGTCAGACCACATTACAGAGCGGGTTGGACGCGGCCCGCGGGCCGTATGTTGCCCACCCCTGATATAGACTCTCAGATTTGAATGTAACTCACGGAAACCCCGAACTTTACTGGCCGCCAAACCGCTGTTGTAGACAAGCACAGTATTACATTGACGTAATACATATAAATGTCAAAAGTCTGTAAATAATTAATAAAGTTGACATATGGTGCCCGTGTTGGGGTATAAGAATAGCATGCTTGCTTCCTAGGGTTGAGTTTCTTATGTGTTAGGTTAGGTTGCTAAGGGCGTTGGTTGGGATGGAATTGAAGGTCAATTACCTCATACCAAGGTCACATGACATGAGTGAAACAGTTTTCATATTTATCACAAGTGGAAACTCTTTAATGACAGCCTGGCGTATCCTAGTCACGCTCAAGTTACCATTTAAGCTTGAGTAACGCAATAGTGGATATGTCACCATCGTGTGGCGACCAGAAAACCCATTTTGTAAAGCATGGCTTGGATTTTCATATTCATCACAGTGATGAGGGTAATGAATTAATTGGATAAAATTCAATGGTCACATGATCTCATGGCAAGGTCATAAAACATGAATAGGACAAGACCAGGAATTGTCATATTTGTCATGGGGCGAATAAAATAAAAGGCGACCTACCCTAACGAACCCTAACTTCTCTTCCAGTTGCCAATTCAAGTTGAGCAATGGACCTTTCCCCGACCTTTGACCCCCAGAAAATTCTTCCTATACTTTACCATTGCAAAATTTTCGGGGCTATTTAAGGAGTGCTTTTGCGAGTTGGCGCCTGTAGAATGGTGAATGTTTTTCAAACCATCATCATGAATCATCACATACAAAAATCTGTTTTTTAAAAGTGATGGTGAAGAATTTTAGCCTAGTTTATCTCAGTTATTTCTACACTATTTTTTTATTACTGTAATTAAAACAAAACTCCTAGGAAGACAAAGCGATCATTGAATTATCTGATTTGTATTTAAGTTTTCGAAACACAACTGAAAACTAACGAATAGAGTTCAAAAACGCGAAAACGAGGTAATGTTACGACCACGCTTGAAAATCTGTCTGAGTGAGAAAAGTGTCTGAGCGGATGCGAAAAGGGAGCATTGTTACGTCACTTTTTGCATCTTGCTGATTGGCCAATGTCACGAAGTAAACAAGGAAGTTGATGCTCGGGGAAAGGTCCATTTGATTGGTCAAGAAGTGATTGGCTCAACAAGCTGTAGTCCGTAAACTATCGAAGGTTATGGGTTGTACTAGGGTATTGTGTACTGAACTGTAAATCCTTTCTCCTTGTTTGCTTTCTACTTTGGATCCGTGTGTGTCAGTTGCCACAAGGATACTTGAGCGAGATAGTATCATAAAGATAAATAAGAATAACATAATCTCTTTCCACAAAATAGCAAATATGTTTGTAAGCTTTTGTTGTTAGATCATGGTCTAACTCGATGACCTGTAATGACGATTATTCCCTGTTTAATAAGTCATGTCTTGTTTTTTCTGAAGAAGTTGATCCAACGAAAGCTCACAAATAACTATACTTGCTATTTTCATGGAAAGAGATTATGTTATTTTCATTGAAATTTAGTTAAGATTTGTCAAAGTATTAAAGCAAGTTATTTCAAATTCAGTAATTGGCTCCTCCTACGCTCTCCCTATTACAAACTCACATCGCTATAAATTTATTCATTGTCCCTTGGACCAACCCACGACAATTGCACCTGCATACTATTGCACCTATTTTTACGAATATTTGAACCCATACTAACCCTAACCCATGGATTTTAGCACCCTCATATAGATTGAACCCGCGGATATACACATGGGTTCAAATGTACGGTCACCCACAGAACCAATTCCAAGCCACTCTTGTGGAATTGATAATCCCTGGCTATAAATGTTGACTAAAGCAATATAAATAATTAGATTACCTCAATCTTTGAGTGTTGTAATCATACACTGTTAAACCTCGCTCGTGTGAACGAAATTCCAGCACTAAAACGTTTGTCATAAGAACTGCCAACTTCGTATAGCTCGCTTTAACTTAGCTGATTTATAGCTCGCTTTAACTTAGCTGATTTAGTTTTTCCGGTAGTATGGTTTCTACCTTTAAAAACTGACACCAGACTCAATAATGCACCAACTACGTCGAATCACGCACATTGGTCATTTGAGGCCGTTCTATGAATACTTTATCCACTTTAAGTTGAGGGCTTGGGCCTTGCTTTGGAGCGAATGGGTTCAAATGTACGTGGGTTCAAGTGTACGGTCACCATATATGTGACATGGGTTGGTTCAGAGAATATTGCAAATTATTATTTATCTTGATTTTTTATTCCAGGCCGGTGCGTCTCTATTTGACATGATTGAATATTACGAATCTGCTGTCAATGTTCTTGTCGGTTTCAACAAAAATCTTGGGAACAGAGGATGGCAGGCTGCAGCACATATGATGAGAAAGGTGCGTGGTTATTTTTGGTACTGCCGCAATTTGTGAGCCAAGATGGCGGACACCTGAACATATTATGTGTACCAGGTTAGGGTTAGGACATAATTTTATTCCAACTATCCAGAGTTCTATTACGAGTTCAGGGACTAGGCAAGTGACTCCAGTAGTATTTGTACCTGAAATTATGGCCTAGCCCTAACCTCGTACACGCACTACGTTCCGGTGTCCGCCATCTTTGTTCACATACTTCAGGAGTACTTTATTGTGAGAGTTTGCAAGAAGGGCTACTGATAATTAAAGAGTCACATGCTATGCTCTTTCATGGTACTGGTCATCGGCGTAGCCAGGAATCTTCGAAGGGTGGGGATTCTGAATTTTTTAATTGTCAAGATCAACCGTAAGAGCTAGCGGCGGGTCCTACCAGAAGCCCAAAAACGTGAGTCTCATTAAGGGTATTAAAATAAAAAACATTTTAAGCTACGCAAAAGATCATACAATCAATTATTCAAGGTCATTAATTATCGATCGTAAGATCGGAAGGTAGGTTCATAGGTATTTGTCTGTCTGTTAGATGCACGCGATATCTCACGAAAGCGAGGTTCAATCTGCTCCAAATTTTGCATGTGCATTCATCATATCTCGGACCAGAAGCCTATTGATTTTGGATGAATTATGTCGTATAATTAGCGAGTTATTAATTAATTGGTGATGGGACACAAGGTGTCACTATAGAGTAGGAGTGAATGAATAGGGGATCCCCTAACTTTCATCGATAAGTCTTCGGTCACTGACCTAGCCTATTGATTTTGGATGAATTATGTCGTATAATTAGCGAGTTATTAATTAATTGGTGATGGGACACAAGGTGTCACTATAGAGTAGGAGTGAATGAATAGGGGATCCCCTAACTTTCATCGATAAGTCTTCGGTCACTGACCGATATTCTCGTTTCTCAGTTAACCAAGATTTACTTAGGAATAAATTCAAGGGCAGATCTCAGAAATTTGTGCAATTACAGTTTCAGAAAATTGAACAGTTGTGTTTTTAATCCTGACAAATTTTTCATGTTATCATGGAAATCGCATGAATGAATTACTCCATAATAGGCATATAATGCATGAATGGCCATGGAAACTGTAAACCAGTGGTTCCAACCGTTTATGGCTTGTGGCCCCCTTACAGAGGCTTCTAGCTATCATGTTTATCATTCCAGTGGTATTAATAGTGTTATTTTGATTGGAAGATTCCAAGTCCCATTAGGTTCAAACAGTCCATGCACAAAAAAGTGAAAACACCCTGTGAAATAACCTTATTAAGCAATGAAACTAGAGGAGTTTTTTGTGGTAAAAAGTAAAATCAATTTTGCACCTGGCATTGTGGTTCCCTTCAACCGCTTTGTTGCCCCTTGTTGGTAACCACTGCTGTAGACAATGGTTAGCTGAACCACTGTATAATGGAATTATCAGTTCTATCTCTAAATTACCGATTCATCATTTTTTAATTCCAGATGTCCTGCCTTCGTCTTTTTGACGGTCACAGCGTCCCTCTTTCCATCCAAGCGTCCCCGTTTGTTGGACGAGCTCTGAGATTAAGCAATACATTGGTAACTTTACATCTTGAGAATGCAATGCTGTCTGGGAGGCCAATACTTCTGATTGGTGAGTTTAAGTTGAGGTTTTAATCTGCGGCAGTCAAGACCAAATGATACCTGGTGACCTACTAGTTAAAGCAGGGGTGTGCAACATTTTTTGTCACTGGGCAGTGGACGAGTCGCTCAGCTTTGCAATAATATAGGAACCAGGCAAAACAGTGAGAGATTTGGTTTGAGTAAATGCCAATGTTTACTATGTTTTTATTACAGTGATGAGTTAATGTAATATTTAAAGGGAAATGTCTGATATCTGTTAAAACATCATGTACTTTAACCCATGTGAGCGGCCTTTAAACATAAACTGTCGGTGTCGGATTTCATGCTTGAGGATGAAAATTCTAACAATAGCTAACATTAAAATGCTTATCGAGCCGGATTGTGGATAATATTTCAGATAATATATTTTTTATTCAATGTATGTTCAAGGAGTTTGTGTTTGTAAATTCAGTAGTCGAATTAAGAAATGCTTTGCTCAATTGCTTAGAATCATATTTTTTGAAACATTACTAAATTTTCACGTACTGTTACCCTTTTTAGTGGCTGCACTCAGGATGAATACAACATTGCGAGAACTATTTCTAGCAGACAACAGGCTGACACCTCTTGACGCATTGCAACTCGCCAACTTATTGAAGTTTAACAGGATTCTGCAGCTGCTGGACATGAGGAATAATCCCATACAGGTGTGTTGCATTTCTTGCCAGGGTGGCGTGGGAGCTGGACTCTTCCTCCCTCTTTTCAAAATGTAAAAAAAGCATTATTCTTCATCATACATAGCAATTTTTCGTAGCTCGTAGTTTCAGCCCCCCCCCCCTCCCCCCTCCACATTTGAAAAATCCTGGCCATGCTCCGGCCCACATATCATAATATTTCTTCACATTTATACATTTGTAGCACGCTGTAGCGAATAATGAAATATATTCTTTTCAGCCTATAATTTTTTTTACAATTTAATTTCTGATATTAATTTATGAGTTTATTTCGTATATCTTAAACTTTAAAGATAGGTATTTACAAAGAAGTTTATAACCCAGTATATATTTACCAAGTTTAGAAATGTGTTTGTTGAAAGCTGAAAAAAGCTAGGATGACGAATGGTTTTTTGTATTCTTTAAAAGGTACTGCCGAAGTATTGTATCAGGTTAGGGTTGGGCCATAATTTTATTCCAATTTTCCTTATTTTAGTTTTATTACAATGCAGGGAATGTCTGTGTTAGCTAAGTGAATATACCCCCTGCCCATAGGATTCAGTCCTTTTATACAACTTGATGTAAATAGGTGAACAAAATTAGTTATCTCCATATTGGTACACATACTCCTGGAGCACTGGATGACAAATGTTTTTTTTCGTATTCCATAAAAACTCTCAATATAAAGGAAATGCTATATTTTAGAAAGCATTGAAGTCTTTATTGTAGCAACTATAGCAACTAACTAGGTTGCTGAAAATCACTCTGAAAACTGTTTCTTTATAACAGGACATGGGACTTGGTCACCTCTGTGCAGGATTGATGGCACAAACAGGATCTGCTGGGTTGAACGGGGCTAGTGGAGGCTTGCAGACGATGGTTCTTTGGAATAACCAGATCTCACAAGAAGGAATGTCGAAACTAGCATTGGCTTTGGTGAGTAATTTTATTTCCTGTTTTTTTTCAAGGGTTTCTGGTCAGGCCATCTTTTCCAGTGGTTATTTCAATGAAATGACGTAAACTCAAACTTGGTTAATCGTGAAAATGATTTCAAACTTAACTTGAAACTTGAGAATAATTTTGAGTTAGTCTTCGAAATTCTCATGAAAGAATATTTGCCACATTGATTAATATTGTATTGAAAAAGAAACAGTTTTTCATTCTGTCGTTGGCTCAACTTATTTAAAAGATATTGTATGACTTGAAATTGAATATCATAATGGCCTCTCATACTGTGCATCCACTAACCTTGGCTTGTGACTATAAAAATAATCTTGGGCGAGTCTTTGAAATTGACAAAACTTTTACAATTACGATTACAATGTACGAAAGTTACATTTTATTTTACATTAACAATATTTTGGGTTACATTAACAATATTTACGATGTTACAAAAGCAAAAGAGGAAAACAATAGGCCTTGTGTCAAAACTAAATTTAATTGCAATCTCAACAAATTCCCTGAGCTGATTTTTAGCTAAAACATCGAAATTTGGTTTTATTTCGGTTGTGGCACCATCAGGCACGCCAGGTTGAATTACCCAATGGGACGGATTTGACTCGCAGGCCCTAATTTGCCCATGTCAGCGACTCAGCTATACCACCTTGTTTATTATGTCATTTTGAGATAACAACTGCTGATAAATAGAAATTAAAATTTCTTAAAAAATACAATTTAGGTTTGCAAAACTACTTTCGTACGAGCTATTTTATATTCATTGAGCCTTTTTACTTGAACTTTTTTCGAGTGCTATACTGTTATGCATAACTCACACCCCTTCTTTTGTACAGTTCATAATGTGTACATAAATAAGTGTTATGGTGATAATAAAGTACTAAAGAATATTAGTAATACTGCAGCAAATACAAAGCAAAAGTTCTCCCCAAGGATGGAATAATTATTCCCTCCCCTAGTTGAAAAAGTTGGGTTGGATTAGGGTTGTGAGATTGAGTGAACGACCAACATCTCAAACTCATCTTTAATTTGGGTTGATGAAAATTTGGTTAATTGATGATCTCGGTTATTGGGCCATTTTGGGTTTACAACATGTAAATTAACCTAAACCGTTTGAAACTTTTCCAGCGCTACACTGTCAGTCTATCAACACTAAATCTTGGACAAAATGTTCTTGGTGACGATGGAATTCTCCGTCTCAAAGAAGGATTATTACAAAACCACTCATTACTGAGGCTTGGACTTGTAGGAACAAAATTAACAGATGAAGGTATGATATCTAATGCATTTAGTGGAATGGGACTACTGGGCACTAGGCAGCCCTTATTGGGCTTAGTTCTTTGGGTTCCAGCTGACAGTGGGGGGCCATTTCAGCTGACGTCCTCAAGTCAGCACCAACATGGCTGTTTCAAAACACATGCTGCCCCACTATTGGTGCTGTGATATATATTTTCAAGATAATTTGTTTGATACATGCGAGACCACAAGCAATGGAGACTGATCTTGGAGTGAAGTCACATTCGACTACTTAAATTCTAAGAGCTACTGAAAGTATTGGATTATCTCTTGTAAACAAGACTTATCCTTATTGACTTATACGATATTGATGAGAGTGTGCAATAGAAGTGCCCAACTTCAGAAAATTTAAAATCGAAGCAAACTGTTGAATAAGATCCTAGAATCCCAAGCCATTCACACACATACATCCCTTGGTACTCCCGTAGTGTGTGTACTAGGTTAGGGTTGGGACATAATTTTATTGCGATTTCTTTTATTTGAGTTCTATTACAAGTTCGGGGATTGTCTGTGTTAGCCAAGTGAATATACCCTGCCGATAGGCTTCAGTCCTTTTACACAACTTGATGTAAAGTATGGGAACAAAATTAGCTACCTCCATATTGGTACACACACTTCTGGAGCGCCCATCTCTTTACCTACACAACCTTATTACTATCCCTAATTTGTCCTCAACTTTATTATCCCAGGTGCAGTAGCAATAGCAGAATACCTTGCAGAATCTCCAAGGATAATTCGACTTGATCTTCGAAACAACGACATAAAAGTCGCTGGTCTGATGGCTCTTTCACTTGCGTTCAAAATCAACCATTCTCTGCTGCGATTGGATATTGATAAACCTAACAAGAAAGATGCGGTATGTGATTTTTCAGTTATGTGCTTTGATGGATATGTGAAGTTCTGTGCACATATAAAAAAAAAGTGTCCAAGTTGAAAGTGACATGAAATATTTATTTATCTATCTGTTACGATTTTATGGGCAAACAAGAAAGATGCTGTATGCGTTTTTTATGGTTTTGTGCTGCAAATTTTATCAGAAACATAATGTCAAAATTGATTGTGGTGTGTATTTGTCCAAGTGAAAGTTTCTGTAATGGTCAAACAAATCAGATTTGTTATGCGATTCTACACTCATTTCTGGGGAAAATGTGATAAGTGCAGTTTTTCTCTATGTAATGTGGAAAGGTTTTCATACGTAAAAATTTGAGTTTGAAATTGAATGTACTATGTGAAATGATTCTCTGTACATGTGAAATTTAATTTTACCAATTTCATTTATTACTTTTGTGTATTCATTTAACATTTAAATTACATTGCAATAGTCATTTAAATTTTGCGCCTATGAATTTGAACTTTTTCCTATTCAGCTGAAAGAACTTGCTGCCAAGCAGGAAAGTTTGATGAATGACATTGTCACATACGCAATGAGGAACAAGCAGGCTGCATTAGAGAAAGCACAGGCCGCCCAGATGCTGCAGGAACAAATGAGAAAAGGTGAAACAGAACTGAGGTGAGAGCTTAGTGCAGAGATGGGCTGTGAAAGTGTGACGTAAAAAGTTACATTTTATGAACAACATTCACATGTTAGGAGAGCAAAAGCGGAATACAATAAGCCGAAACTGAATTGAATCAAAATCTCAACAAATTCCTCGAGTTATTTTTTAGCTAAAACATTAAAATGTGGTTTTAGTTTGATTGGTGGCCCAAATTGAATTACCCAACGGGCCGCCGATTTTGGCCTTCGTAGTATGCCCATGTCAGGCTCAGTGGGTTAACTCGTGTAGTTGTGATGGATTTCCAGCGCAACGTGGCTGACATAATTGCCAAGCTTCCTTAAATAACTGGTTAAGTATTTCCATTTGCGTCATGATTTTAAAAATTATCGAGCCACTTTTTCTGCTTTTCTCACCTCCTAGACTAGATACAAGAAAGGTCAGGAACATGCTCGCAATTGTACCTCCACCACTGAGTTTCTAACATTACCAACCCATTTCTAGATACATGGACATGACGAATGCATCGACATCTACCTCTGACACCCCTTCATCCACTATCTCAGCCTCTTCAGCCACTAGTTCTACTGAGACAAGCGCAAATAACAGCAATAATCAAAGCCCCATCATGAGGGTCAAAGGTCAAGAAGGTAATATTACTTAATATTGCTCATGAGGTTTTCACTACTAATTCTGACTTGGTATTGCATGCACAATTTATCGCATTTCTGACGAGATGAGCTAGGATTTGTGAATCCAAAAGTTGTATTTTTTTTTTTTCCAATTTTTACTTCGTTATTGGTGCCCATTTGTGTCAACGTTTGCTGATAAAAAATGAAGTACTATTACAATGGGCAAGTGCTCAACAGACTTTGATGACACCACACCTAGGGATTGATAACCGGATTCGGTTTCCTCTTCCAACATATTTAGAATAAGAAGATGGCAATGAATACCTCATAGCGAAGACGTTATTTTCATGTTTCTAGCTATACTATCTAGTTAGCACATATTAACAATTATTGATGCCACCACCTCCATGACCATTCTGGCGTTGATCTTGCGATTTTGCCAATTTTGTGCTCGTTCTTTATCTTGAAAATGCATGCAGGTGCTGAACAATCTTCAAAGCAAACTGTCACAACATCCAAATCAGGCAACACAACAGCAGATGACTCTCCTGAGAATTCACCAGAATTTTTGCCGGCAAACAGCGTGTCATACCACCAGGTAAATTATGTGCTTACATTTATTGTGAACAGACTGTCCTATCAAGTAGTCAGCCCGCCATTCATTATTTCATTTATTTGTGGGATTCAGGTGTCTACCTGGGGTAGCTTTACCTTTGCCCATAATTAAACCCTTCGTTTCTCCTTTGAGAAAAAGCACAAATATTAAATGCAAAATTTCTTCCCAGTTAAGAAAAACTCGTTAAGATGGTGAGGAAAGTACTTGAAGGGAACTAATTATCATATTGGGGGTATGACAATGCATGTTTTCATAGGTCTTTGTACAATTACAATTCAAGCTTGCAAACTGATACATGGTAATCAATGGTGGAACAACGAATTTTTTTCTAATGCTTACCTGAAACTATCTGAACTAGTCTATTTACAAAAAAACATATAGTTGTAGCTCATCGCATTTGCTGTTTATTCCTTGTAACTAATGTTTTTCAAATTTTGTAGGTCTCACCAGTCATGCTCAGCAACTGCGAAATGGCTAAGCGTGCTGCTGCAGCAAAACTCAAGCCTGTACCTGAACAGCAAGAGGGGACTCCTCCAACACCCCGAAAATTTATTACCACTGCCGTGACGAAACTTGTTGATGATGCTTTCAGTGGGGCTAAACTGACATTAGCTGGACAACATGAGCCTGCTGCTGATTCTGAGGCTCAGGCTGCTGAATCAGTTAATTTGGAAACTGATTCTGCATCGAGCGGTGAACCTGAGGCTGCAGCCCCAGAAGCAAATAATCTGACTGATTTCAGCAAGCCTGACACTACTGCTGCTGAACCAAGCCAGTCTCAGGATATCAGAACTGCTGAAAATGAAAAAACATTGGATAGTTTTGCTGAAAACTTTACTAACTCAGTAATGACAAGCGCAACCAATCCTATCATAACCACTGATACCAGTTTACCAACCCAAACCAATTCAGATACCAATCAAAGTATTCCTTTTAACCACGGTGCCGAAAATGTCTCAGATACCAATCAAAATCTGGTAACTGGCATTGATACCAATGCAACTGGTGCAGAAATGGTCTCAGGTGCCAATCAAAATTTGGTATATGGTATTGAAACAAACCGACTAGAAAGCACAACTGGTGCAGAAAACAAGCCAACTGGTGCAGAAATTGCCCTTGGTACCAATCAAATTATGGTATCTGGCATTGTAACCAATCCAACTGGTGCTCAAATCATGAACGGTGCTACCAAAACAACCCCACTGACCACCAAAGAGCTAAATAATAGCAATATATTACCAAGTAACCTCAAACTGGACATTGAGAACCAGTCCTTGTATGAACCAGGTGCGGTAACTCCTCCCCAAGAAGGGGATTCCCCAGATAAAAACACAAATTTTGTACATAAGCCAGAGCAAAATAACCTTGTTGTAAATTCAAAAACGTCTGACGTACCCCAAGAAATGTCTGCAAGCTTGGCCAGTGACAATGATATATCCAGTGGTTTGGGTACTGAAGATAATTCCATTATCAGCGATGATTTATCTCCTATGGTAGATAAGACTTTTGCTGATAAAGGAAGTGAACTTTTGACTCCTGATTCTGGAATGGTGCACTTTGAACATTCGTCCATAACTGAGCAGTATAACTCCAAAGCTACTGCTGCTGATAAAATTGTTGAGCCTAAGCTTGATGAGGAAGTCAGTAAGCCTGATCTTGCTGCTGACATTGCCTCACTTCGACTTGATGAAGGCAGTCAGCCTGATGCTGAAATCAGCAAGCCTGAGCCTGGTACTGAGATCAGTCAGTCTAACTTTGCAGCTAATAACACCTCAATTGCTGAAATCGGCAAGTCTGGGCCTGCTGATTTCGACAAGCCTGAGCCTACTGCTGAAATCAGTCAGCCTGCTGATATTGATAGCGAGCAACAAGAAGATAACACCGATAATCAGCATGAAATCGTGAACTCCTTACATGAACAAGATCACGAGATATTGAGTAAAAAATCTCAAATTATTGTTGAAAAAACTGAAAATGGTGAATTTAATGAAAACTCGCCAGATATTGTACCAAAGTCTGAAATTTCCGAAAACCATTTTGATGAGGACCCCTCGCCATGTGAAGTTGAGGTTTCACATTATGACTTGAACGAGTTCCCTACTGAGTGATGAAATCAAAATTCTGCATAGAGCCATGGGTGTCCATAAAGCTTTAAATTTGCAAAGGAAATTTATCGATACCGTGTATTGTTTTGGCCCTCACAGATGTATCAAATGAAGTAAGAATAAACAATTACTGATTAAAAAACGAGAATATCGATCGAAAGTTAGGGGATCCCACAAAACAGCGCTCTTACTCCATAGTGACACCTTGTGTCCCATCACTAATTAATTAATAACTCGCTAATTATATTACATAATTCATCCAAAATCAATAGGCTTCTGGTCCGAGATATGATGAATGCACATGCAAAATCTGGAGCAGATTCAATCTCGCTTTCGTGAGATATCGCGTGCATCTAACAGAAAGACAGACAAATACCTATCAACATACTTACCGATTTGATTAAAATCGATAAGTAACAACAAACCTGGTTAACTAAGCAATTACTCCAGCCATTTTTGAATAGGTTTGTGGTACACCCGAAAATATTTCTGTGGGTCATGGAACATAGGTTAACAATCTGTGGGCTGGACCTACAAATAAAGGTCCAGTAGCCCCACTGGTGTCCCAGAGTCTAGTCGCATGGCATTGAACCAGGGGTGTGCAACCTTTCTTACAGGAGGGTCAGACACAAGTAACTAGGTGAAACTGCGGGCCGCACTTATATTTAAGATAGGCTTTCTGGTAGTTGCAAGTTGCAAAAAACTTGTTTATTTTTTCTATTGGTCGTACTGTATACCGGGGGTCCTGGTAGAAGTGGTGAGTTTAAAAGGCTGTTAGGATTGGAATTGCTCGAACGTACCAGATTAACCAATCTAAAAACTCGATTCGTGGGCACACCATTCAAAATTGACACTTCTTCGCGGACCGCACAATTTTACCTTGCGGGCTTCATTTTGGCCAGGGGGCGGAGTTTGCACACCCCTGCATTGAATCAAGGTCGACAGTCTGAACTATAGTAAACTTCTTTTTCCTTTAAATGGCTCGAGTCTGTTTTGAGTCTTTGATAAATTGTGACTCAACAGGGCCGTGGCCAGGAGTTCCCGAAGAGTTCTTCTAAAATTTCTATTTGCAGAGTTAGACCGTGACAACTAATGGGTCCGACAAGAAAACGTAGGTTTTCAAATGTCTTGGCGGTCTGAAAAGCGTTTCCAGCTATCTATGATGCATTAGAATGTTTTTTTCTTTAAAAGGGGGGTTCTGACCCTCATCCCCCCCCCCTCCTTTGTCTATGCCCCTGTGACTCGCGTCTCCCTAGCACTGCAAACCTTGTCGATTCATCCCGAGCCTTTTGTATATGTTTTACTTTGCTAAACAATTTATATTATTCTAATGCTAATTGATATTTCTGCCATCCTAATACATTGCTTGTGATCACTGGACCATATCACTGTATTTTGCAGGGCTTGAAATTAGCAACCGTTTAACTATATCACTGCTTATTGCAGGGCTTGAAATTAGCAACCGTTCAACTATATCACTGCTTATTGCAGGACTTAAATTAGCAAGCGTTCAACTATTAATATATCACTGCTTAATACAGAGCCTATAGTAGCAATCGTTCAACCATATCACTGTTTAATGAAGAGCTTGAAATTAACAAGCATTTGATATATCAATGCTAGCCACATGGCTCAAAATGAATAAAAGTTTCCTATTTGCATAAAGCTCTATATACAAAATCAGGGATGTCCAGAACAAATCAAATATTCAATATTTCAGTCATATAACTTGGAATAGTTTAATTTGACAAATGATCATTTTAAGCAGTTAAAATTTCATAAGAGGCCTCCTTTATTAAATATCTGAAAACTGTAAACAATACGAAACTAACTAATCAATGTTCATCTCAACTTTGCTATTGACTCATATGTGTTTTTGTGATCCATTTGGCCGTCAATGGTCAGGATATTTGACTTTAAAGAATGTTTTTGATAATTGTCAACAATGATGTTCTTTAGATCAAGGCTTTCCAAACTTTCAGGCTTGCGACCTCTTCCTATATAATAAAATGTTCCGTGCCCCCTGTTTGGAGTAGCGTGCCGCTTATCGTGTCTTTAGATGAAAGCCGACATTCTCTCGAAATCGTGAGATCTTGGTTTTGCACTAGTTTTATTAATTGTGTTTCGAGTCAAAAGTCTAAAAAAAATACAATAGATATAGTACTTTATGTGAAATTGGTGTACCATTTGCGAACACTAAAATTCGTTGCTTGTCCACTTTCGGGGTCGCGACCCCCAGTTTGGAAAGCCGTGCTTTAAATCTAGATTTTTTGGTGTTTTGCATTTTACTTACCAACTACTATGTTTTGAGAGGACTGACTGAAATCTTTTTTGTTCCAATTATGGTAATCCTGAATTATGCGCACCAAGATGTCGCACAACCTGAACCATAACCTTGTACACAACCTCAGTTCAGGTTGTGCGCCATCTTGGTGCGCATACTTCAGGAGGTCCCAACTTTTTTTATTATTACGATTCGTTTTCGCGTCTTCACTCAGGACAATGCAAGCCAGTCACTGATCTATACGGAGCTACTGCTCCTGAAAGCTTCACCATTCTGCATGTCCTATACCAGGGGTTGTGCAACCTTCCATACAGAAGGGCCAGATACAAATAACTGTGTGAAGTCGCGGACCGCAACTTAATTCAACATTAACAACTTTGGTTATTGATCGTATGACATGCGTTGTTCGCTTCGCACAAGCTAACTGTTAGGTAATTGTAACGTCATAGGCATAGATTGGAGTCAGATATAGGCTTTGCAACACAAAAGAATTGGAATTATTCTTACTTGGTACTTACCAGATTAAACTAAATTAAAATCTCGTTTTCACAGGCCACTTACCATTCAAAAATGGCACTTCTCTACGGACCGCACAATTTTCCCTCGTGGGCCGCATTTGGCCCTCATGTTGCTCACCCCTGCCATGCACAATTTATTTACAAATAAGACAGTAAGAACTGGATTCCAAAACTTTAACCCACTATAACAGTACAGTTAGGTCCAGCACTTCAAGCAGTAGGCATTTGTATTAAGTGAACTTGCTTTGGGCATACTTACCAAAAATGATGTAATAAGTATAAGTTTATTTCGACTCCATAATCAGCAATAGACGATAAAAAAAATAGATAAAAGTAACTGATTATAGAATCGGGAAAGCGAACAAAACCTAGAGTAAGGTTTGGAACGTACAGATGTTAGATGGAAAGGTATTGATAAAAGAAGTAGTACGTTTCCGCTCACCCAACCCATACATCCTAATTATATGAGGAGTGCTTTCCCTTGTTTCATTTGGTGTGTCAGATGTCGCAAAATCATGTGTGAATGTTGAATGTAATTTAACTGTGCAATGATTTATGATAAGCTATCGTAAGAAATATATAGTAGCAAGCAGTGAGTCTGTTTTTTTTTTGTATGCTGTGGGGTTTATATTTTCACAGAATTTTTATATATAAGGTGTCCCAAAATAAATGAAATCAAAATATTGGTAATCGAATTAATGGGTTTAATTTATTTTAAGAGATCCGGTGTTTTGTCGGATGGGGATTGGTTAGCCAGTTATTGCATATCAGTAATGTGACCGTCATATCAGAATTGCCATTTGTCCGTTTTTGATCAATTTGTAAAATAATTAGAGTGAGGACACTGGTATAAAAAAGGTTAAAATATGGCCCTAAAGTCTATTACCTCAACTATTGTTACGGTTCATTAAAGCAGTACTTCTCAACCTATGGGTCGCCTGTAAATTTTCTTGGGTTGCTTATCTTATATTTCGTATTGTAGTGTTGCTCAATAGTAATTGTATATTTAGGTCTTGTGGGAAGCCTAAAAGCTTAGCAGCTACAATCTCACTTCGGAGTAATTTCTGGGGTGATAAATGTTATATAAAAATGATTGTTTCATATTACGGTAGATATGAGGTTCGCGGCCATAAATGTACTACATGTCGTTTATTATTTAGGCATGTCCTTGGGTCGCGAGATTTTACAAAATTTATTTTACTTGAAAAAAAGGTGGGAAACCACTTCATTAGGTAAAGGGCGTTGTTGCCGAATTACCAGTACAGCTTTCTAACGTATTTTCTTATTACCCAAATTTAAAAAAAAATAACCAAGGATATGGTCACATACCAAACGGCATGAATTAATTGACAAACGTAAAACAATCATTTTTATTTACCATTTATTCTCCTAAAAATTACCTCAAAGTCAATCAATCAAATCGTTTTTCATTAGCCGTCCAGGCAAACGGACACAAAAAAAATTGAAAAAATATACATGCCCCTTGCCCAGAACGAACAGGATGGCCGCGAAATGACCATTTGGTCTACTTGTCAGCGGCTACCTTGCAATAGCTGTATTAACTAAAATTCAAGAATCGAACACAGGTAAACCCTTTTATACGAGAGCGAGAACGCTGCGTTTGCTTGCAATCAACGAGTTAAAATAGTGGCGAGGATTCATATAATCAGCAAAGTCGACGCTGCCAAGTTTTTACGCTGTGATGCCTCCCACATATACAATTACTATTGACGACACTTCAATACAAAATAAAAATAAAAAACTAACACAATCTACTAGAAAATAAAATCGACAACTTTTAAGTCTTGGTTTAAAAAACAAGCGATTCAAGATTATTTTCAGGCGACCAAGTTTTGAGTCGCGACCCATAGGCTGAGAAATACTGATGTAGTGTGCGCTTTCAAGACGTACTCAATTGTTGGTGCACGATTTGCCGGTGCAGTTTATGGCCAAATACCAGGGCGGGCTTAGCGTACTCCGGATCCAGGACTTAACAATCACAAACTGATATAAATATTATATAACCTACTGTAGCAAATGTGGAATGTAACTATGGATTTTAAAGTTATTTAACCCTTTATATCAATAGCATGTTGAATTGAATGAAAATAGGTCATTTTGGCAATCTCTTTGAAGGTGATTAATCGTAGCAAGGCTCTTAGCTCTTTATGCTTCTTTGTGTCGACCAATCTGTGACGTGTTTCCGGCTTCCGTTTGAGTGTTGAGAATTTAGTGCTTTTCATTTTTTGTATTTCTTACTGATTTGGATTCTAACCGTATAGCTGGTATCAATATTCAAGTGTATATTTTAATATATCTGTTTGGATTCAATTCGATCGTGCAACTTTGCAA